GGAAACAAAAGAAAATGAACTTATAGTAATCCATAACTTATGGGACACAGCGAAGGCAGTCCTGAGAGGGAAGTTCATAGCAACACAGGTATACCTAAAGGAAATAGAAACATCCCAAACAAATGACCTAACACTATGCCTGCAAGAACTCAAGGAACAACAACAAAGACAGCCCAGAGAAAGTAGGACAAAAATGACCATATCAGAGAAAAATTAAATGACAGAGAGACTAAAAACACAATTCTAAGGATCAATGAATCCAGGACCTGTTTTTTTTTGAAAAGATAAACCAAATAGACAAGCCTTTAAGTAGGCTCATCAGGAAAAGAAGAGAGAGGACACAAATAAACACAAACAGAAATGGAAGAGGAGAGATTACAAGTGACACCATAGAAATAGAAGAAATTAAAAGAAATTATGAAGAACTGCATGCCAAGAAATGTGAAAATCTAGGTGAAATGAACAAATTTCTAGAAAACTATAATCTTCCAAAGCTCAATGAAGAAGAAGCACAAAGCCTGAACAGACCAATAACAGCAAATGAAATTGAAGCAGGAATCCAAAATCTCCCGTCACACAAAAGCCCTGGACCACATGGTTTCAGAGGAAAATTTTACAAGACATTTAAGGAAGAGCTAACCCCTATGCTTCACAGTTTATTCCAAAAACAAGGAAGACTCCCAAACTCTTTTTCTGAAGCCACCATCATCCTAATTCCAAAACCACATAGAGACACAACAAAGAAAGAAAACTTCAGGCCAATATTGCTGATGGACATAGATGCTAAAATACTCAACAAAATATTGGCAATCTGCATCCAACAATAAATTAAATCATCATACACCATGGCCAAGTGGGATTCATCCCAGGGATGCAAGGATGGTTTAATATTCAGTAATCAGGAAATGTAATACAACACATAAACAAAAGCAAAGACAAAAACCACATGATCCTATCAATAGAAGTAGAAAAAAAGCTTTTCATAAGGTACAACAACCATTATGAGAAAAATACTCCCCAAAATAAGAATACATGGAGAAGTCCTCAAAATAATAAAGGCCATATATGAAAGACCTACAGCCAATATCATACTCAATGGGAAAAAACTAAAAGCTTTTCCACTAAGATCAGGAACAAGACAAGGATGTCCACTTTCACCACTTCTATTCCATATAGTATTGGAAGTTTAAGCCACAGCGATTAGACAAGAAAAAAAATAAAAGGCATCTAAATCAGAAAGGAGGAAACAAAACTTTCATTGTTTGCAGATGACATAATAGTTTACATGGAAAATCTTATAAACTCTACTGAAAAACTGCTCAACCTAATAAATGAATTTGGCAAAACAGCAGGATACAAAGTCAATATCCAGAAATCAAAGGCATTTTTGTATAATAACAATGAAAGAGCAGAAGCTGAAATCAAGAAATAAATTCCATTCGATACAGCAAAGAGTAAAATAAAATATCTGGGAATAAACCTAACCAAGGAGGTAAAAGACCTGTATACAGAAAACTACACAACAGTGAAGAAAGAAATCAAGGAAGACACAAACAAATGGAAACATATATCGTGTTCATGGTTTGGAAGGACTACCATCATCAAAATGTCCATACTACCCAAAGCAATTTACAGATTCAATGAAATACCTATTAAAGTACTGATGGCATATTTCACAGACATAGAACAAACACTTCAAAATTTAATGGAACCATAAATGACCCTGAAAAGCAGCTTCGATTTTGACAAAGAAGAACAAAGTAGGAGGGATCACATTACCTGATACCAAACTGTATTACAAGGCCACTGTAATCAAAACAGCCTGGTACTGGAATAAAAACAGAAGAATAGACCAAACTAAAAAAAACAGAGACCCAGAAATAAACCCAACTCTTTACAGTCAGTTAATATTCAGCAAAGGAGGCAGTAACATAAAATGAAGTAAAAATAGCTTCTTCAATAAATGGTGTTGAAAGAACTGGACAGCTACATGCAAAAAAAAATTAAACTTGAGCACCAAAATACACCATACACCAAAATAAATTCAAGCTCAATAAAAGTATTAAATATAAGCCGTGACACCATTAGAATCCTAGAGGAGAACATTGGCAGAAAAATCACAGTTGTTTCATGCAGCTACATTTTTATTGATATGTCCCCTAGAGAAAGAACATAAATTAAAAAAAAACAAATGGGATCTCATAAAAATTAAAAGTTTCTGCATGCCTAAAGAAAACAACATTAAAATAAAAAGAGAACAAAATGTAAGGGAAAACATATTTACCAATGATACCTTAGACAAGGGTTTAATCTCCAAAATATAAAAAGAACTTACACGACTCCACTCTAAGAAGACAAGCAACCCAACTAAAAAGTGAAAAAAGGACTTCAACAGACAATTATCCAAGGAAAACATACAGAGCATGCAGAAATACATGAAAAGATGCTCAGTATTGCTAGCTATCAGAGAGATGCAAATTAAAACCACAATCAGATACCACTTTACACTGGTCAGAATGGCCATCACAAACAAAGCAACAAATAACAAGTATTAGAGAGGTTTTGGAGAAAAGGGGATCCTACTTCACTGTTGGTGGGATTGCAGACTGGTACAACCACTATAAAAAACAGTATGGAATTTTCTCAGAAAACTAAAAATGGATGTGCCTTTTGACCAAGAAATTCCACTTCTAGGATTATGTCCAAAGAACCCTGAAACACCAATCCAAAAAAACCTATGGACCCCAATGTTCATGGCAGCACAATTTACAATAGCCAAATGCTGGAAGCAACCTTGGTACCCATAAGTGAACAAATTGATTCAAACATTATGGTACATATACAGAATGGAATTCTATGCAGCAGAAAGAAAGAAGGAGCTTCTACCTTCTGCAACAGCCTAGATGGTACTGGAAGACATTATGTTGAGTGAAATAAGTCAGGCATTGATAGACAAATACCATATGATCTCACCTTTAACAGGAACCTAAACAACAAAGCAAACAAGCAAGCAAAATATAACCAAAGATACTGAAATGAAGAACAGGCTGACAGGAACCAGAGAGGAGAAAATTTCAGGGGAAAAGGCTAAGAACAGTTTACAAGAACAAGGATAAAGGACACACAGTTGAAAACTAAGTGGGATGGAAATGGGAGAGAGGTCAGGAGCACTGGGGGGTGAGCTGGGTTGGGAGGAAAAGACAGAAAACTGTACTTGAACAACAACTAAAATAAATAAATTGAAATAAATAAATAATGCAAATTTAAGCAACATAAAACCTTTTTAGGAAAGGTCAGATCCACAACACTGAGAAGAGGAAATTCTGCTGTGCATTTGGAGCAAATAAAATTCTCATTACTTATTGGTGAAAATACAAAAGGCTACAGCCACTTGGGAAGAGTTTGGAACTTCTCATACAACTCAACATACACTTATTACATAATCCACAAAGTGTGCTCTATAGTGCTGAACCAAAGAGCTAAAAATCTGATCTATACAAAAGCCTATAAGGGACTGTTTTTAGAAGCTTCATTCATAAATCCTAAAAATTCAAAATGAAGAAGTTATCTGTAAACAGCTGAAAAGATAGGGAAACTGAAATATATACAATTAAATGACATTTTGCACTAAAGAAATAATATATCAAGGCATGAAAGAAACCTAAATTCATAAACATAAGAGAATTTAATCAGTCTCAACCTGTGCTAAGTTGGTTAGTGTTTCTTCTAGATACAAGAAGTTCATGGGGTATATTCCAAAAAACAAAATTCAGTTGAGGATTTGTAACAGACATTTGCATACCTTTGTCAATTTTAGCATTATTCACAAAAGCCTGGTAAGTGGAAACAACCCCCAGCTCTATGGATAAATATAGTTAAAAATGTAGTATACATAGTCCCAGCTGCTGTGGCTCACTGGATGGAGTGTGGACTTGAGAACTAAAGAGCTCCTGGTTCAATTCCAAGTCAGGGCTTATGCCTTGGTTTCAAGCCAGGTCCCCAGTAGGGAGCGTGTGAGAGGCAAAATCACATTGGTGTTCCCCTCTCTCTCTTCTTCCCTTCCCCTTTATTAAAAATGAACAAATAAAATCTTTTTAAAAGTTAGAAAAATGAAGATCATATATACAATGGAATACTGCTCTGCCAGGAAATAGAAACTATGTTATCACCTGATACCACAGAGTCAAACTAGAAAATGTTCTAAGGGAAGCACATGAGTCACAAAGACTCATGCTACATGATTCCACTTAGGTGAGTTCTAATAGAGTCCAACTCAAAGAAAAAAAAATGTAGTTACCTGGGCCTTGGTTTAACAGAAAATGAAAAAGTGGTTGTTTAATAGACATTGGAATATTTCTGCAAGATGGAAGTTTCCAGAATTTAGATGCACAGTTAACAAGTATACTTAATATGACCAAACTGTACCATTAGAGATAGTTCACAAGGTAGATACTTATTGACATGTTTTTATCAAATTTTTATAAAATATATCTGAGAGACCTATACATCTTTTCTTTTTTTACTTTAACTTTCTATTATCTTTGAGTTCAGTATAAGTAAGAATATGTGAAACAATTCAAATCCATTGTATAAAAGGATTTGCTTACCATTTATAAAGTAAACTGAAAATTAAGCTGTACAACAGCCAGCATGTAGTAAATTATAATAAAATTCTGTGGAGAATCAGTATCTGATACACATCTCACTAAAAAAGTAATCTGTGTTAGTTTACCATGCAGATTTATACAACAATCAAATGCAAGAAAACACAAAAATGTACTCCTTCCCTGGCTATAAGAGACCTACATAGTTTTGGAAGCTAAGGCTGGATTAAGCACTGAAACACTAAACAAAAGCTTCTTATTTTTAAGATAAAAGTATGTTTTCTCACTTTCTGTTCTTGGCATACATTTCAATTCTCTCCAGTGGAACCAAGACCTCCAGAACCCCATTTGGTGTCATCCAAACCTTGAACTTCCTCTTTTTGGGGGATAATAAATTCATTCACAAATGAGCTGTACAACGTGGTCACCCTTTTTAATTTCAGACTTTCCTTTGCCAAAGTTGAACAGAACAAGGCAAATATTTCCTCCATAATCTTCATCTATGACACCACCTGCTACATCTAGGAAGTGCTTTGCAGCCAAAACAGAATATGGAGCTACTCTCCCATAGCCTCCAGCAGCAAGAGCATTGTGAGTGTCGGTTTTTACAAGGTCTTTCTCCATAGGTGGCACTATGTAATGATTGGCACTGTAGAGGTCATGGCCAGCCGCCTGCACAGATCCCTTAGTTGCAGTGCTGGTGTGTTTGCAGAGCAGGAAAAAAGAGTAGCCTTGTGCCTCCTTCTTATGCAGGAAACTACTGCTTGCTGGAGAAGATGGTGTGTACCTCTTCAGGCCATGGCGTGGAAGAGCAGAATGCAGGCACATGTTGCCACAGAGGAACATGAAGGCGTGAATCAAATCTTTTCAAAAATTACACTCAACCTAGAACAGCTTTCTTTTTCTTGATTTTTATTTATTTATTTTTAGACAGAGGGGAAAGGAGATTGAGAAACATCAATCTGAGGTGGCCTCACATGCGCCCCCTACTGGGGACGTAGCTCACAATCCTGGCATTTGCCCCAACTGGGAATTCAGCCATGGACACATAAAATGAAGGCTATTTCTATAACTCAAAGGACAAAAGAGCCATTGACCATTAAACAAGTGCAGAAAGAAACAAGATACGTCATGAACAGTGTAAGGAAAAAAAAGAAAAATGTGCACTTAAATTTAATGGCAACTGCCATATGGCTGATATATCATATATTTGAATCAAGTCCAACAATGTCTTAAGGACTGATCTTAAAACTACCATTTACTTTCCAAATATGTACATAAATACTAAAAAGTTAATTAACAAAGTTTGGAGAATTTATCATATAAAAGCAATCACCCTTAGAAACCAGCAGTGATAATGGATGACTGAGACTGACAGATGCTGGAGTCCAAGTCTTTTTCTTAGAGGCTGTGACACAGATTTACAGGGACTTGCAAATTCGGACCTTGAGCTTAGGAAAAGCAGATTGAAAGGTGCTCGGGACATTCAGGGAGGGACTCACCTCTGTGGTTTCAGGGCCAAGGCTGGAGGGGGACATTCGCCCACACAAAAGTCATCTGACTCCATCCTTCCCTGCAGTGCCCCCCTCATAACACAGCTGCAAGGTGCTATATCTGAGTTCCCACCAACCTGGATAATGCTATAGCTCTTTCCTAGCGATTCCCTGAGGCCTTTCCCCACTGCACTTGAGAATTCACCCAAGGCATATCCAGAGGCTGTTCTATAAAAATGGCCCCTCTTGACTCATGGGGCAGACTCTCCTAAATTTCTCAAACAGGCTGGATCTGCCCTGTGCATGCTCTATACTTCTCACTTGCCTACATAGGCAAAGAAAAAGAACATGTTCTTTCCAAATTTTTATTGTTGTTCAAGTACATTTGTCTCCATGTTCCCTGATCACTCCTCCAACACAGCCATCCCTACTTTCCCACATTGATTCTACCCTCCTTCAAATTTTTCCATGTGTTAGTTATACATGTTCCTAAAACCCCTGCCCTCTCTCCCTCCATTCTCTCTTCCCAATGCCCCTCTGGTTACTTTCAGTTTGTTCTTTATTTCCACATTTCTGGTTATATTTTGCTTGCTTGTTTGTTTTGTTGATTTGTTTTCTCTTGCAGGTGAGATCATATTGTATTTGTCTTTCACCACCTGGATTATTTCACCATAATTCTCTCCAGATTCATCCATGCTGTCCCAAGGTTTAGGAGATCCTTCTACCCTAAGAACTCTGACACATCTATTCTAATGAACATATGCACCCCAATGTTAATAGAAGCACAATTTACAATGGCTAAATATTAGAAGTAACCTACAGGCCCATCAGAAATTGAATGGATCAAGAAACTATGGTACAGTTGCACAAGAACAAGGACATTTGAAGTGAAGCAAAAAAGAAGATTGTCTCATGTTGGGGAGGTGCACTGTGCTATAAGAAAATAATCAAGTCTAAACTTTCTATAAACTTGTTTATAACCCCTGGAGGGTCAAAAATTATGAGTCAGAAAACATGACACATGTCCCCAGGGTTCCTGGGATTTTTGTGACAAATTATAGGACCTTGAATACTTCCTTCATGAACTCCATTCCTGCAACCAAAATAAAAGTAGAAAAAGAGAACAAGGCTTAAGGTAAAATTTCACAGCAACATGCACAGATTTTCCAAGTTCCCAAAGCAATGCAAGAGAAGCCAGACCACAGTGGCCCTCACAGACAAAATATAACTTAATTGTGTATACTGCACACTTTTTTAAAGATTTTATGTCTTCATTTTTAATGAAGGAGTGATTCAGTCAAAACTGCTAGTAGGGTAATAGAGGTCCCTGGAGTGAAAACTATTCTGAAAGCATGTAGGAGCATAGGATACTCTTGGAGATCAACTGGCCCTTTGTGACAACAGCAGATATAAGCCTGAGCTTTTCGAAATCCTTTCCACTGAAGCACAGCTTCCCAAACCACACTTGAAGGCCTGGCTTCCTCTGCGACCTTTGTGTTACTCATTTGTGATATCTGTATCTGCATTCTCACCTACCTGGGAAAGCAGATATTGACTTTGTTCTGCAAACATCCCAGCGCTCCTTCATTTGCTCCAAAAATGTCACCAGAACTGGCTTAGAAACAACAAGACCTGTGTACAAAATAAGTGTTATTATTTTTTAAGATTCTCTACTCCCAAAATTTGTTGTGTTCAGGTAAGAACACTGCAGGAAAATAAGAATATTCTAGAAGATCATCCTTACATGACTCCACTCTAAGAAGACAAGCAACCAAATTAAAAAGTGGGCAAAGGACTTGAACAAACACTTTTCCAAGGAGGACATACAGAAGATCCAGAGACACATGAAAAGATTCTCAATATTGCTAGCTATGAGAGAGATGCAAATGAAAACCACAATGAGATACCATTTTACACAAGTCAAAATGGCCATTGTAAACAAAGCAACAAACAATTAATGTTGGAGAAGTTGTGGAGAAAAGGGAACCCTAATCCATTATTGGTGGGATTGCAAACTGGTACAACCACTATGAAAATCACTATGGAATTTTCTCAGAAAACTAAAACTAAATCTGCCTTTTGACCCAAGAATTCCCCTTCTAGGATTATATCCTAAGAACCATAAGACACCAATCCAAAAGATCCTATACACCCCAAAGTTCATAGCAGCACAATTTACAATAGCCAAGTGTTGGAAGCAACATGGGTGCCCATCAATAAATGAATGGACCCAAAAACTAGGGTACACATACACAATGGAATTCTATGCAGTAGAAAGTAAGAAGGAGCTCCTACCCTTTGCTACAGCATGGATGGTACTGGAAAGCATTACGCTGAGTGAAATGAGCCAGGCATTGAAAGACAAATACTATATTATATTACCGTTAACAGGAAGCTAAACAACAAAACAAAAAGCAAGCAAAATATAACCAAAGACACTCAAATAGAGAACAGGTGGACAATGACCAAAGTGGGGAGGCGAGGGAATTTCAGAGGAAAAGGGGAAGGATTAACAAGAACTAATATGAAGGACACATGGACAACAACTAGGGAGGAGTGGAAATGGGAGAAAGGTAGGGAGCACTTGGGGCAGTGGGCTGGGATGGGAGTGAAAGACAGAAAACTGTACTTGAACAATAGTTGAATAAAAATAAAATAAAAAAAGAAAACTCATCCTGATTTTTGAAAGCACCTTAATGGTTCTAAAAATACAGAAGTTTTTCTATGTTTTTCTCACCACAATAGTTCTCAAAGCCTCTACTTTCTACAGGAGATAACCTCCAAGTTCTCCCTTGCAATATTCAACCTGAAAGTCTACCATACAAAGTACACAAAGTTGTTATATAAAGAATATCCTGTGGCTGGGGCAGGAAATGTGAAGGAAGTCAGACTCACCCAGGGAGACCAGGTTGCTGTAATTTTCCAGCATCACATCTGAGTACAATTTCCGCTGAGCCGGGTTCAGACATTCCCATTCCTCCTCAGAGAAATCCACTGATACGTCCTTAAAGGTCAAAGATTGCTGAAAAAAAAGAGGCAAATTAATCAAGAACACAGAGCACAGGTCTCACTGTCATCTAACAATAAAAGTATTAAAAGTGGTTTTGACCTAGGAGATATTGTACATCATTCAGTAAGGCTACTTTGACTCTCTAACACTCTCTAATGTATTTTGTAAAACTGACAAGAGAGGATAATACATGTTTACAAATCCAATGCAAACATTACTTTGCAGGAAAATAATCTTAAAAATGAAGGAACAGACACTGGCATATGGGTTGTTGAGTGCTGTATTTGTATCATTCAGAATCAGCTGTGTATACTTCTCAGCTACAAAAGGCAAGGTGAGTTGAAAGTGTAAGTAACTACTTGAGGTTTCTTTCAAGCAACCAAAAGTGTAGTTTTGTTTAAAAGCAGGTTTTGATTTAAGAGTTTTGGGTGAGGCCTGTGTTTCCACATTTTTCAGAATCTCACTTCCTTAAGTATGTTTGATAAACACAATAAAGAGAAATACACAAATAATAATAGAAAAGAAGTTAGAGCTATGGTTTCTTAATGTTTTGTTTCTTTCAAAATGTTTTTGTATCATTAGTGCAGAGCTAGATCTCACCAATTTATCTGAATTAAATACATATTTATAACATGATTCTTGTAAAATTACATGAAAATATGAAAGGTGATAATGTAGAGTACGTCTGTGACATGAGTGTGCAATGTAACAAAAATTTACGAGAACCTGGCCTCACTGATTAAATTCTCCATGTAAAAGCAAATAATCTCTATGAAATAAATGTAGTGCCTTCATTTCCCAAAGTATACAGAAGTTAAAAAAACAGCAAAAGTGTTCACATGAGATGTAATAGTTTTTTCACATCCCTCAATAATTTCCTGCTAGACTGTTGTTAATGAGAAAGGAAAACTACTAACTGAACACTGAAGAGAGAAACTCAGCCAAGTGACTATCATTTGTATGGCAACAATCGATATTCAGTGACTGAGGCATGCAGAAGAATGTGTCCTTATAGTTTTGACACTACTGTCCAAATACAGAAATAGGAAAGTTATTATGTGAAAAAAATCGTAAGTAAACATTTATTTCTTTTGATGTCAATCCACATGTACCACTCATGTTCAGCACACTCATCATATATTTAAAGAGCAAGACTTTCTTACTAATTGAGTGACAAAGTCTATTCTACTGATTGTTTTTTCAGAACATTCAGAGTGGTTCTCACTGGAAAATCTGCATTTGCTTACCACTGATGTACAGAGTTGATGCTGAGCCACATGAACTTAAACGAATATATCCCTGGTCCACTAATACCTGAAAGTCTGAGCCCATGCCAGGAAATA